TGTGTGTGTGTGTGTGTGTGTGAAATCAGACAGACTCATGCCTATCGCCGAGGTAGGGCAGCATGTCGGTCCGGCTAATCGCTTATTCACCTGCCCTCTGTCTCTCCGTCCGCTCTCCGGCCGGCTCAACGATACAGACTCAGTCGGTCCGGCTTCTTTGGTACCTCGGACAACAACGTCTCAAAAGCTGGACGGACGTCTCACGAGACGGCCGCGTGGCCAGACACTTGTGCAACACGTATACACACACACACTCTCTCTCTCTCTTTATATACATATATTCATATATCTATCTCTCTCTCTCACACCCACATGAATGAATACACACACACACACACATCCAACTCCTTGACTCTTCCGACTTGACTGTTTGTCGAGCTGGTGTGTATGTGTGTGGGTGTATTGGTGGGACGAGAGTAATCGCTTGACGCGCTGACTGGCTGAGTGAGCGGACGGGCCGGAGCAGAGATGTGCGGCCAGGCGAAATGTACATTGTCGCACTGGTCTTGTGCTCCATTTGAAATGGGTGGTCGTGAGGCTGGAGAAAAGAGGACAAACGGACAAACGGACAAATGGAGAGTGACGCGGTGGGTGAGACAAGAAATGGCCAAAGAAGGGAAATAAGAAAGAGACGAAGAGAGCATGGGGCAAAGGGATTGCGCGATGGAGGCTGAAATGCTGCTGGCAGGAAAGATGTTGCTGCCGCGACCGGTGCCGTGAATCCGGTGGATTGATGCCATTCCGACCGGGATCCAGTCGAGCCAACCGTCGCCTGCCTTCGGTCATAACGATTTTCCCCATCTTCGTGCAACACTTGCCCATTTGCCCAGCTGTACATTGGCATGACGACAAAATCGATAGACACCTTTCGGGCTAAGACAACGTGGCATTGTTGCCGGTTGCCAGGGCTCGCGTTAATGGAGACGCGATAGCGACCAGCCAGAGGCTGACGACAAAAGAAAGTGGATGATAATCCCGAAATGAATTCACGCAAATTCGATGCGTTTAAGAAGTCTGTATGCATCGGCTCGGAGGCAGAGCCGAGTCGCCATGGCGTCATGAGGTGGGCAACACACGCAGACACGAAAGCAGACAATTGAAGTAGTCCTTGGCCCAATCCGCCGCACCAACGACTATAGCTCCTCCTACTCCTCCTCCTCTTCCTCCTCCTCCTCCTCCTCCTCTTCCTCCT